TGATTGGATTTTTTTGTTTCCTCAAAACTGTAATTGAGACCCTGACACCTGATGCTGATTAGCCTTGTGGATCAGACAAGCACAAGCAAAGAAATTGACTTCCATTTTGCTAACATATATAACATAAATCTATTAATTTGGGGAGACAAAATAGAAGCAAAGAGCAAAATAAACACGCAAAAACACACAAAGTACTGAGGCTGCCATCTGTGGAGCCCAAATTAAACAAGTTGAGATTAAACCAGAGACACATCAGTCTTTTCTGGTCTTCATTTGGGTCCTCTTTGGGTCATTTGGTTCCTAACAGTCCGGTACTGGTTGTGTTGGTGCGCGTCCTCTTTTGTTCTGGGCTGCTTGTTTACGTTTGTCTTATTGTGTTTGTGCTGCTGCTGCTAAAAATGAAAAGTAAAACAGGAAATTTCCAGAGCAGGCGGCCAAACAATGACCCGAAGCGAGAGGAGAAAGAGCCAAGTTAGCATTTTTCACACAGGTCAAAGCCCACTGTTGAGATTTAAAACTTTGTGTTTACACCTGAAATGTTGTCTTGTTTTCCCTAGTTTAATTAGATGTAGTGTTAGATGTAGTGTTTTTGTCTGATCTGGCTTTGGTGCAGCAGCTGCTGTCGCTTTAAAGCTCGGGAAGGAAACAACTTTTGGTATATGTACCACTAAAAAGGGCCCGTTTCACTTTGACACATTCGGCGAGCGGAGGAGCAAATTGGGAGCTCGTTCCCACTAAGTTTCTCTTTGAATAAACCAGACAGCTCAGCAGCACACAAGCAAAAGAAGAAGTCTCAAACTGGAGACAAAAGACACCCACAGCACAAACCTGCAGCCTTAGCAGTACGGGGAGAAAAATAGAGGATCTCCAGGAGCTTTTTATGTGATCAGAAACGGCTGATTTGTCATGTGTGGAGAACTGGGTGCATCTATCTCCCCAGATGGACCACAGATCCTCTTATAAAATGGCTAAATTGAGCTCTTTCCAACAGCTTTTTTCTATTCACATCACATAGGGACATCAGAAAAGGTGCAATAGGACCAAATTTATTATTATTTTTTGTCGTTATTGGATGATAAAAGCATGAATCGTGACATAGAACAGGTATAGACACAGACAGAAAAGCTTTGCATTAAAAAAATCTAAACCCTCAGTTTTTAAAGGGGTAGCAGAGGGCAGATGGTCTTAATGTAACTCAAGAAAAGACAGAGCTCTGTTGGAGCTCACATTCCCACAGTAATGGCCGCCCAGCGTCTGACCCCTGAGGCCGACACTCAGCCCTGTCCGGCCTCGTCCTCCACCATAATGGGCGAGCGTTTTTTTCTGCCCGGGTTGAAGATAACTGAATCAAAGCAATCTGTGGCGGCTCAGCTCTGGATCCAAACCGCCTCGTGTCTGCTAACAGGAATCATGTGAGGGGCGGAGCCTCAACCGCCAGGGCGCCTCGACCCCGTTTCCCCCCGTTAAAGTTCAGACATTTTCACACACGGGACGCCTTGTCTCAGTCCCCACTTTCATTTCCACTACCTGGACGTAGGCTTTACCCCCCAAAGCCATCCTCCCCCCTCGTGTCGCACCGTAAATCTTATTAGCATCACTCTGAATGAAGACGCTTCCTCTGATTTTGCTGATTGGACGGGGAGAAGATTTGCCCTGCCTGCTAAAGGCCGGTCCTGGAGCTTAGTCTGGGCAGGGATCAGTGAAAGAGACGATGACCCCGGCATGCTTAACCTGCCAAAGGCCTTTCATCAGAAAAAATAAGGATAATATTTATTAATGAGCCACAGTGAAGGCTTCTGTAATGCCACATATTCTCAGAGCATAGCTTTAATTAGATTGGTATGGTTGATTTAAATAGTTTCCTCATGGGAGATCGTGGTCTTAGTTTGATTAAATATTGTTTTTTTTCCCTCTCTTTATTGTGTTTGTAAATATATTTAATTAAACACATAATCTACCAGGGATGATTCCTCTTTTTTTTAAAAAGTTTGACAGATTTTGCATTTGTCTGTGCTTATTGAGGTGTGTTTTTTTCAGATATGAAAAAAAGGGCTTCTCAGTGTTTTCATGGGCTGGAAAACTTTTAAGGTGTTCCGTTTTCATGGTGGTTTTCGAGGCAGTTCTCCATTCGTCTGAAGGTGTTTTAATCTGAGAGGCTATTTTTAAAGCCGGTCGCCGCCCTGGTTGGTGATCTACCTTTAACTCGCAGCGGAGCAGAAAACAACCAGAAAACAGAGGGAACATTGTACAAACGGAGCAGGAAATGAGACCAAAATGCTCCCATCTGCTTTGCATAATTGTACTTCCCATCCACGTCTGTGTATTTGGTAAAAATAGAAAAATATATTTTTCAATTAACTCGCTAGCTTCCCATTAATGGTCCCTAACAATTATATTTTACCAGTGATTATCACCATGATGGGGACAGATGAAATCCCACTCAGGGTGGACAAATGGGAGGAAATGCAACTGGGCCCTGATTCTGCAGGAGCATAGACTCATTAATGTGTTTCCATTTGAGATTTTTGGATTAAATACCAGCCAATTTTCAGTTTTTCGTCCAGCGGGAGCTGAGTCGGTCTCTAGTAAAAAGTCTTGGCCCGAGTGGACATGTTTTCAACACAGGTGTCAGATGAAAATAGACCAAACGGGGTCAGCTCAGGCAGCTGAATTAGGAGGTCAAAGGTTAACTAGGAGAGCTTCCTCCCTGTTGCCGTAGATGTGAACTGGCACAGTTAGTTGTTGTTGGGTTTTTTTTTCCATTTGGCTAATGGACTTTCTGTCCAGCCAATAGATTTCAGGAGATTTCCCTCAGCGCCCGGACCAGAGACTTAATCTGTGATATTGTCCCTCCTGTGAGTGCGTGGGGGCTAATCCTGGAGCTGTGGGCCTAATCACACCTAATCACAGGCCTTTATTAGGCTAATGCACAACTAAAACGAGAGGCTACGGGACTGATACACAACAGCTTTGATGGTGACATAATAAAAAAAAAAAACTTCATTTGGCTGATGTGTTAAATCTGGGATGATTTGACCATTTTCAATTCTTTAATACGAGTCATCCTGGGTTGTGTGTGTGTGTGAGAGGTGTGTAGTCTCTGAGGTGTATGTTTTAAGGCAGGATTCTCCATCGTAGCCATAATCTTTGTTTTATAGGTGGACGGTCTGGATGGGACCAGTGGTTCTAAGTCTATGTCTGTGTCGTTACTGTTGATATCCAGATGAAATTGATTTAGTTTTTCAGTGGCTGTCAGTCCTGGTGTGTTAAATGTAAATAGTTAGTTGGTCATCCAGCCTTTTTAGAGGTGCTTTTAATTATTGAGCCTCACAGCTACAACTTAGATTTAACATATGCATTGAAGCCATTAAAACAACATATTTAAAAAAGAAAACATAAATCACTGTTTTACAGTTTTTCACAGAAAGCTCTAAAAAAGAAATCAAAACAAAATGACAAAGTAAGCAAAAAAGGCGCGTTTTATTTCAGGATTAAAGGAAATCTTGTTGAATTGTGTAAAATCAGTTGACACTGGGGCATCAAAAACTGAATAATCTGAAATAAAACCTTAGAAAAAAGCATAAATCATGGAAAGAAGTTAGATTCAACAAAGTTAGATCAAAAGTAAAACAATATGTATTACACCTGTCTGCTTTTGAGCTGATATTCTCTCCATGAAGCACCAAACTACAGGTTTGCTGTACTACTGTCATCTCCCCCCTGATTGGACCAGGATTCATTTAAAGGTTAAATCAGAACCTCCAACCGATACCTTTATTTGCCTTTGACTTGAGGGAGAAGGATGTTTTTTTTAATCCCTAAAACAACATGAAAAGCTGCGAACCCTCTCAGTTATTAGTTTATCATGAACGTTTGGAGCTGAAATGAAGAGATTAGCAGCTTTTAGTGGCTCAGCCTGGAGTCCATTGCTGTTCCAGGATTAAACCTCCTCCGTTTGAGTCTGAGCCGTTTGTTCTGAATGGGTTCAAATGTGTTCTTCAGGAGAAGGAAAGACAGGGTGGAATCATATATTTCCTTATCGGAGGAGCTTCATCAGATAAAATGTTTTGCTGCTGAACGTCACGCTGCCAGGACCTCATTCCTGTCTCACATATTTGTCCTGTGAATAATTTGACAGCTGTCTCATAAATGTGGATGTTGGGTAAGCGGAGTTTGACTTTCCTCAGGTCCACAGCCACTAGTCACTCCCAGCTTCTCAGAGTTTCCTTTCTTCTGAGAACTCCCCTGAGCGATTCACCAGATAGCTGTCTCATAAAAACCCTCCGAGGCAGCTAGTTGTGTTTTAGGAATACTGCCTCTTAAACAAGCCTGGTTAGAAACGTCACAGTTAAGAACAAAAACACCTAATCTCTGGTAAAACGATCCTATTTGTGCCTTTATTTAAGATTCTCTCACAATCTAAACTGGCAAAAAGGGGCATTAATATGAAAAAAGTTCCTGAGAGTTGTGGCTGGTGTTCGGATGGTGTTGACCACACCTCCAAACTCACACAGCTGGAAAAGGTGACAAATCTTTCTCGGAGGACCCGAGTCTTCGTCAGCCCACAGCATGACCCATCAGGGATGTGGAATTTGTGACTTATGCCGCTCGCCTTATAGTCCTGAAGGAAGTGGAGAAGAAAAGCTGAAGACTGGCAGAGAGCAGAAGGACTCGCTTATATATCAGCTCTTCTGTGTTCTTTAAGGGAAAACTACATGAAAAAGGAAGTTTTGTGTTTCACTCATGATTGAGAATGTCTCATAAGCAGTGAGAGGAACAGACTGATGTTAAAGGAAGCGTAGCAGGAAGTAAAGCTGCCCGGGAATAGATAAGTTAGCCTGGAAATAGATGAAAGTCTTGACTGATGATTGGTGTGAGCAATAACTGTGATTAATTGGAGATTAAAGCTCTTTTTGTCCCCTCCACAGTTCTGCTCATGAGGCGGTGGTAATGAGTGTCCCCCGCTTGTGCTGAGCTGCCTGTGGACAGTCGGAGGCACCATGGCGGAGCTGCCTATCGCCCCGGGCCAGATCTACATCGAGGTGGAGTACGACTATGAGTACAAGTCCAAGGACCGCCTCATCACCATCCGGCACGGCGAGTGCTACATGCTGGTCAAGAAGACCAACGACGACTGGTGGCAGGTGAAGAAGGAGGAGGGGACCAAGGCCTTTTACGTGCCCGCCCAGTACGTCCGAGAGGTCCGGAAAGCGCTGATGCCCCCGTCCAAACCCGTCCCGCACCCCCCCTCCGCCTCAGGGGACCCCCCCGCCCGGGTCAAGCCCACCTACCTGGAGCTGGGCTCCTCCCACGACCGGCCGGCCGAAGGCCTCCACCGGAACGAGTCCAAAGGCAGCCGGCGCTCTCCCTCGGCTCTGACCTCCTCCTCCACTACCAGCCACTTCAGCCCCCCGGTCCAGCGGAGGAACAGCAACCACCACCACCCCCCCCCCCCCCCCCACCCCCCCCACGCCCCCGGCACGCCCACCGAGCAGGAGCGGGCTCTGGCCGGCATCCTGGTCAGCGGCGTGGCGCCGCAGGCCTCCCAGAAGGGTCAGTCCAGCACGCTGCCCCGCGCCCGGGCCCGCTCCCCCGAGGAGCTGACCCGGGCCCGCTCCCCCGAGGACCCGGACCCGGACCCCGCCGGGCCCCAGCTCTGCGACTCGGCGGGAGAGGAGCGGCGCACCATCGACTCGGAGTCCGGAGACGAGCTGAGCAGCTCCTCCACCGAGCACCTCCAGGTAAACGCCGCCCGCCCGGGGCTTTTAGGGCCCAGAGACATAATAGATTTTCGAAACAATCAACATATACCGAACCGAACCGAAAACCCTGACCACGAAACCGTGAATCGAACCGAACCGTGGATTTCGTGAACCGTTCCACCCCTACTTTCTACCCCCATGGGACAGCTCCTCCTTCACCAAAAAACGCCTCTTTTCTTCTTCTTCTGTTCTATTGATCTCCCCCCTTGACCAGCTAAGAAGTAGCCAAAGCTTGTGTGTTCTGGGGAAGCTTTTACTCAGGTGTCACTCAGAAATTTGGCTTTCCAGACCGCTCCAGAAGTGTTTTGCTCTGCCTGTGAAGAACAAAAGAGGCCAGAAAGATGAAACCAGGTGTGAGCTGTGCTGCCAGTCTTGTGGCATTAGGCTGTTAGATGTGTGGAAATGCCTTTTGTTCATCTGAACACTCGAACCAAAGGTCTGTTTGATCGGAGAAGTTTGGCTCGGAAGTCGATTAACAAAATGAAGCACCCTCATTCAGTTAATGGCATAAGACTTTCATAGCTTTCACACATAAAAAAGCTCCTTTATCTCAAAAAGCTGATTCAGCACAAGACCGCCTGTTTTTATTTGAACAGCACTTCCTGTCTCAAAGTGTTAAAAAAAGCCTTTGTGACAGGAACTTTGACAGCTTACCGGTTGTGAGCTCATGGCTGCTGTGTGTAGTTGTATTTTTCTGTGACGGTCCGCTGGCTTCCCGCTCAAACTGTCAAACATCGCCCGCCCCACAGCGCCGGGCTCTTCGCAAAAGGTCATCAGAGAGCGAACGTGTATGGTTTCAAAGTCCACGACGCAGCCCAGATCACAATGGAGCTCCTTCCCTTTCTCAGCCGCTCCGTGCTCAGTTTAAATGTCAGACAAAGGTTAAAGGAGTCCGGCTTGTTTTAGTTATGTCCATAGACCAGCGGTTGCTCTGTTTGCTCACATCTTTTTTTAGGTGTGCTCGTTTTGCCCACGTTTAAACTCTTTATTCAATCAAAATCATCAAAGTTTTTTCTCACAGTGCTGCTTTAGTCATTTCAGCCTTGTTTTAAGAATAAATTGATGCCTGTTTTTACTTTGGAAATGCAACTAACTTAGAATGATGCAGCCCCAAAACATAATTAGTTGCGTAAAGAAACCAAATTACAAAACCCCTGTAGCTGTTTCTGGTGGTTTTGCTTCTAAAATCAGACCTGTGGTTTGAGAAGAAGCACAGAAACGTGGTGTGTGATGCTTTAGCGAGCTATAGTTAGCCATACGATCGCCCCGTCTCGAGTTATGTTTCAAAAAGGGTGAAACGGCATCCTGTGAGTTTACAGGACTTCGTGTTTGGGGTGGTGACAACAAAAAAAAAGAAGATATCGTGAAATGGCAGCAGCTACAGAACGCTTTTTAAAAAAATAGGTTTCCCGGCCTAAACGTGGCTTATTGTGAGTGCTAAGCTCAGCACGGGCCTGCTAACGGAGCAGTGGTATGAATCAGTCCTGCGAGATACCAGCTCAGGTGTTTGTCTGGACGTCCGCCTCCCCTCGTCTCTGCTTTCCCTGCAGTGTTTGTTTTTAAAGGACACGGAATGAATGCTGACGGGGGGAGAAAGAGACTGATGAATGGAGCAGAGCAGCCAGGAAGTGGAGCTGCGTGTGTGTGTCCAGCTGCCAGGGCTTCTTCCCTTTTGCCAACTCATCCACCTCTCCCCGACAAAGCACTCAGGCAGGATGAGTGTGGCAGCCTCTTATCAGCTACGCAGGCCCAGGAGCCCCTGAAGCCCACTTTGTAACCACTTTTGTTGCTTCGCCTCTTCTAAGGAGCTGCCTCTGCTCCGTCTGGCCCATCACCAGCCTGTCCTGAGTTTAAGAAGCTGTTTTCATAGTGACCGTTTCAGACCGGTCAGCCGTCTGGGCTGCCACAGCCAAGCCGAACGACTTCTTTAAATGACTCCAGTCTTACTTTTTGTCAAGATAAGGGCAGTCAATTAGTGAATAAATAGCTTTTCTGTCATGTTGGTGCGGAAAGAAAGCAAGAAGTCCACTAAACTAAAGTATAACTCTTTGTATCCCATTTTGCTCTGTGTATTTTTTTTTGGTGGACACATTACAGCTTGGAGCTGTAATTTACTTGCTAAACGGTGATGGATGGAGGGTGATTCATGCACATTACAGTGCCTCTTCGCTCTGTAATGACCATATTTCACGTCTAAATGAGGCCACTTGGCTTTTGTTTGTGTAGCCAAACCACCTTTTGAGAGGCACCACGGTTCTATCTGACAGATATGTATATAGATAAGGTGTTTATTTTCCTACCCTGACGATCTGCAGGGGGAAGTGTCAGTGTTTCCAGTTTCTCCAGGAGCCTCCATTCATACTGTACATGCAAAAGGCTTCTGGCCACGTTGGATTGGACACTACATCCACCGGAGCAGATGCCTCCCTTTAGCCAGCGAGTGTAATGGCTTTCAAGGTCTCAGTGTGTTTTAATTTGCTGCTTCGCTGCACTGTCTCCTCCACTGCTTTTCATCATCCGCCGGCCCTCTGGATTATACCCATCCATCATCATTTACCATACACCTTTTGTTAGAGAGAAACACTCTGTGCCGGCTGATACGAGCCTTTTTAACCTGCCTGACTATTAGACTTTGACCTCCTCCCGGCCCCCTGACAGTTGTTATTTATTATCTTTGGTTTGGTGTGGTAATGGATAAAAAACAATGACACGGAAGAGTGTAAAGTTTGGGTTTATATTTGTGTTCTCTGAGGAATAGGTTCCAGCTATAAACGGCCTAAATGACCATAACTAAAGGCTTTAAAGCATTTTATGTGTGGGAACTGCTTATTATAACTTTTTGACTTTACAATCTCGTCATTGAAAGTAGTTGTTTTTTTTTCAGCTCCCCTGATTGTCACAGTTAATAACACCGCCTGGCCTCGAAGACTCCTCTGAGTCTGTACGATGGCGGCAATCAACTAAAAACCTCTAACTACCCTCGGAGGCTTTGATTGATTGCAGGAAGCACTTCCTCATTTCTTTGATTATCCAGTGCGACAGGAGCTCTACTTGGCATTTGTGTGTCTTCACTTTGCCACACCTTGTTGTACACTGAGTGCTTTGACTCAGAGGATGAGCCTGATGTGGTGCATTAAAACCAGGGCCATCTTGATTTAGCTGAATAAATGCATTTACTGTTAAGGCACTAAAGGTTTGCATGGTCTCATTAGCACACTGACGCATGTTTTTACTCGACTGTATAAAGATGATTTGCATATTTGTCAATCCCTGCATGCGCACACAGTGAGGAATCTGTTAACGGGAGCCAGGCCATCTGCCCCGCTGTCAGACGGCTCCTCTCTGCGCGGTAAAAAGGCTTATTATATCACACCGTGGCAGGAGGGTCGGAACTCTTTCAAGGAGCCCCCAAACGGTTCGAGCCGCAGATCCGCAGATGGAAACACAAAAAACAGCAGGACCCAATTTGTAGGGGATTTAAATGAGGCGTGAATTAATTCCCGCGGAGCTTCTTTCTGTTAATGGAGGTCACACATGGCTCCTTCCCTCACCATCCCTGCTGCTGAAGCGAGGCCATTCACAACCCAGAGGAACGCCCTCCTGTTGGTCGCCTTTCAACTCCAGACCGACGCACTTTTCTGAAGTACTGAGGAAGCTCTACGGGGGAAGAACTCCTGGTAAAAGACGCCGACCGGCCGTGACGATGACGCGGAGCTGAGCAGAAGATCGGCCTTTGTGTGTCCAGGTTACCAGATTTGATCGTTAGTGTATGCGTTGTCATGGCAGCTGGAAGAGGTCAATCAGCAAGGCTCAGGCTCCTCGACTGTAGTGATGTCACTGTTTTTGACCAATCAGGAACTGGCCGGATGCAGCCGAACCTTCTGAGGTTAAGGCTAAAGTACTCGAGGGCTTATTTCTACTTGTTGATTTAAAAAATGAATTCTGGATTTCTTTGTTAGACTGAGAAGTAAAATGCGCCCTTCTTTGATCTTTAGGCTCAATCTGAAAGTTTCAAGGTTTGAAACTTTGAACTTTCAAAGTATTTCAGTGGGTGCCCTTTAAGAGGGTGGAGATTAGCCGGACATTCGTCTGGACTTTTGACATCTCTTTAGCCGCATTGTGGTCTTTGTGCTTTATTCTTCTGCACACTCCCACTCTGTCATGTGTCCCTTCTCTCACATCTGGGTCATCCTTCCAGCCAGAGGCTGTAAAAAGGACTTTTTTACCTCGCGTTTTTTGGAGCCCAGATGGCTCGCTTTAGGGTTTTCATGTTGTATTTATTCTCCACCATCAAAAGGGAGATGGGCACCATTCTGTGTCTGTCATAGATATCCTTGTGTTTAAGGATTTGCTCCCTAAACCGACTCCTTTCATGGAAGCGGCAGACAAACGGTAGTTTGTGGGAGGAGAAGCATGTTCTCAATGGCGACGTCGGTTTTTTTATGCTCATCGCCAAGGTTTTAAAGCAGCCCTGAGAGATTAATAGCGGTGTTTTGTAATGTTCTCAGCCGGGGATGCACATAAACACCCACCGGCTTCAGGCGCCCCGGCAGCTGATCCACGTCTTGCTGAGCAGCAGTCAGGCCAGAGTTGACACCCTTACTTTGTCTTTTCTCTCTTTTTTTTTTTTTTCAAACATTCCTCTCCATTTTCTTCCGCCTCCCTTTGCTTCTCACCTCCAGTTCCACGATTCCTGTCGACCACACAGGACAAGTGAAAAGATGCTTTGTGATATAGATATCTGAGGCCCCCGCTGGGTCAATAGCATGAATAGACGGAGGTCTATTGCAGTTTACTTTATCCTTGACAAACAGAGGGACATAAATCTCTGCTCATAAAACTGCAGTTCTCACAGTGTTCTTAAACAGCCGTTGATTGTAAAAGAAAAGGACACTTTGTTCTGAAGAACACAAGGCTTTGGATGACAACACACGGCTGAGACCAGTTCAGATGAGCAGATCCATGATGGTTTTATCTGTTACCATCACTATGTCTTTAGATCAACCCGCTGACTCAGCATTGTGAGCTTTCGTTGCTCCTAAAGGCTGCCAGTAGACATTTTTCCCCGTCCTGGAAGCAGAAACACTTACCGGTGACAGTGTGACACTTTGCTAAAGAAATGTCATAATTCTTGTTTTCGCTGAGCATTACGTAGCCGAGTCAATGCTTACAGATGGCTGGTGCAGGTTCACTTCCTCCAGAAGGAGTGAAGGGGGGGAATTATGTCACGACAGAGAGGTTGAGCCGGATGTCACGGGCTTTTTCGTTCTTTCAGATTTTCGAATGGATCCCAGGCACCTGGCATTAACTAACTTCTGTCCTCAGTTCTGTGTAATTCTACAAACACAATTCTGCGTCGTGATTGTCCTCCAAGGACAGATGAGATCGGTTCCCTCCTCCATTTTCACGAATAGTGGTAATAAAGCCGACTTGTTTTGAGTTAGAGATCACCGGAAAGCATTCGACCGAGCTGATAGCAGAGCTTTCTGAGCTGTTTTTTCCCTCGCATATCTCCCTTTTTCTGACTGATTACCGATGTCCAAAACAGCCCCACAGAAATTTAGCCCGGTGTAAAGTTTTGTTTGTGTTGCTCTCTGCTTTGGATTGCTGACCAATGGTGACCTCTAACCCCGATTATGACGGATAATCCAGCATAAACCGTCACCATGCCCAATATGACTTCTTTGATTAGAGCAGGCGTGCGCGTTGGCACGCGGTGTTCCTCACTTTGTGGAGATTTTCTTAATCTTTCTGGGAGCAGCAGTTTGTGTGTGTGTGTGCGTGTGTGTGTGTGTGTGTGTGCATGTGTGTGAGCGTGTGTGTGTGTGTGTGTGTGTGTGGGTGTGTATGTGTGTGTGTGTGCGTGTGTGTGTGTGTGTGTGTGTGAGCGTGCACATGCTGGTTATTATGTCAGCAGTGCTGTGCAGGGCAGCATCAGGGCTTTATGAAAGGACAGGTCAATCAGTGTGTGGAGACCGGGCAGCATCGGTCTCTCTCTCTCCCTCTCTCTCTCTCTCTCTTTCCCTCTCTCTCTCCCTCTCTGTTTATGTAAGAACGGGTGAATTAGAGTCCCTGTGCCGGCGGGTGTGTGTAGGGTCTCAGAGCGGCAGCGTCCGTGTCAGTCCGAGAGGGCGTGTGCGTTTAGGAGAGGGCTCCCGCTGAGCTCGTCTGCATCCCCGCCGTCCTCCTCAGCCCCGCCGGACCGCCGACTCCCCCCCCCCCCCCCTCCGGCCCCCCCGCCCCCCGGGTGTACGGTTTCCCGAGGGGAGCGAGACGGTAAGGCTGCCCCTTTATCTCCGCACGCCTCCTCAGACTGCGAGTCCTTCTGCTTCCAGTCCAAAATGCTTTGTAAGACTTTTTTTTTTTATGCTGACTCGGCACAACGCAGCCGTGATGTAGCAGTAACTAATGCGTACGGGCACCCCGGACCCAAAGCGGCTGATAAAGCAGGGGGGGGGGGTTTGGGATGTTAGGACTAGCACTGCTTTGGTGGTTTGTGTTTTGTGTTTTTGTCTGCTCATGCTAGCAAAGCACTGATCCTCAAAGGTATCAGCCAAAAGTTTCGGAGCTGCTCTCCCCGGTGTGTTTCCGTCTCGTGCACCAGGCGGCTGATCTGGCAGCTTTGTTCACAGGCTTCATGCACACATTCATCATCCGTTCGGTCCTTTTGTGTTTTCCTGACTCTCTGCGGCCGGAGGAAGCAGACGGGAGGCTCCTCAGACGTTTGAACCGGCGAGGAGAACCGGCTCGCTTTCATTCATTACATAAGCGGCAGCTACGTAACGTTTGTTTGGACAGCTGCCTGGCGAGAGGAGCTCGGGGCAGCAGGGAAGGAGGAGCCGGAGCTG